AAAAAAAAAAGAAAGAAGTACTAAGAGGTGCAAAATAATTTAACTTTCCTACCCAATTTTGTTTTTCTTCGGAAAAGTATATCCAAATTTACCTTTTAAAAATGCGGTCAAAATAGATATATAGGAGTCCCCTTCTGCATTCGTAGACTTTGCCCTAAAAAAACAGTGCAAATCTCGAACATACTCACCGCCGTTTCTCTCTCGTCCAAATTTTCTCGTCGGCCATCCGCAGGTATATCTCTTATTCTCTGTAAACATACAGTCGCATACGTGTCATATGTTTCTAATTAGGGTTTTTGAATTTTATGGCTCGTTTCCCTACGAATCCAGCTGGTCGCTTAGTGCTATTTGTTTTTTCTTTTTGGTTCTTTTTGATTGTTATCTGTTGTGGTTTTGCTGGAAAATAGCTTCTTTTTTTTTATTTATAGTTGGGAGGATTGAGTTTTTTGTTTCAAAGGTTTTTTTTTAAATTTTTTTTATCCCCCAGATGCTATCCTTTTCAATCCCTTTTGTAGAACTGTTTAAGTATTTATTTTTTGCATTTGTGGGATGTCTTTGGTATTGAAAATACTTAGCAATTTGAGAATAATTTGTGTTGTTTTAGTTGTGCTTTGTATCTTCCTGAGCGTTTGGATTTGGTCTTGGAATTATTGTGAGAGAATTTCTGTTGTACTTGAGAGTTGTTTCAGTTATTGGTTCTAGCTGATCACTCTCTTTGGCTGACATAATATTGGTTTTATTCTTTTCCTCTGTGTTTCACCAACTTAATTATTTATGAAACCCATAATACGGAAAGAAAATGTTTTGCCTGTCTCTTGTTCTAGTTGGAGAGGAGCTTCTCCTCTCTCTTGTTTAATCGGGGGACTCAATGGAGGAAAATGGTGCAGAACATTCTTATGATTATTAGGATTTTGATAATAAGTTTTATACCCCGAAAAGTAGATTGATATTGGGCATTCATATGCTTATGGTATGTATTTATGATATTAAGTCTGATGAAGGTCAGGTAAAGAGGCTATGTTTTTCCTCAGGAACTAAAGCTTCTTTACCCTGATTATGCTGGTTTTTGGATCTGTACTCAAATTGAATATGTTTTGATTGCTATTTTATTTTTGTGTCAGTATATTAGTTTTGTAATTCTATGAACTTTTGGTATATCTCAGCTATTCTGGTGCAAATGAGGGGAAGGAGTTACAGTCCATCACCACCAAGAGGTTATGGAAGGAGAGGAAGGAGCCCAAGCCCCAGGGGTCGCTATGCTGGTCGTAGCAGAGATGATCCGACTACTCTATTAGTTCGCAATCTTCGCCATGACTGTCGGTATGCATCTTGCCCAACATTTTATTCTCGGAGCATACCAGGTTCATTTTCTTTTTGCTTAACCCATTAAGCTGTTTTATCTTTGTGGACAAGTGATTACATGCTTGTAATGGATGCTGTGTGCACTAAATTAGAAAACACACAATGGATTTTTGTCTCGAGGCCATAGCGGGGGCCGGAATAAGATTGGAGAATGTTAATTGTGTGAGATCTATGCTCTCGTTGGAGCTATCTGTAGAAACTTCTTACCTCCTGCTTGTCTTTTTCAGCAAGAACTAAAATTGGTCCTAATAACACTGTTATAATTCCTATCTTATTAAAGAACACTGCTATAATTCCTATGACTGATTGAGTTACAATATGTTAGGATTAGGTGTTCCATGAATTTGTGCATGCAGTTTGATGTGACCATTCACTTTGCTGTTTGTGTGCAGGTCAGAAGACCTCAAAAAGCCATTCGGGCAATTTGGCCCTGTCAAGGACATTTACTTGCCGCGGGACTATTATACTCGGTGAGCTTGTTTTACATTGTCTTTATGTATACGATTCTCCTCCCTTCTTAAACGAAGACAAAGAACCAAGAATAAAAGAAGTGGGAGTTATTACTATCCGACATCATATCTCAGTTAGATACTCTGCCCTATACAGTCAGGCATATCCTTTTCATCTTCCAGAACTAGATATTTCATATTTTAGTTTCTGAGAGTCAATTCATTTCATCAAGTTTTTCTTAAGTTTTGACATAAATATCTGCTCTGACATTTGCTTACTTTTTATTTTATATTGGGTTCTGTTTTTAAACTTTTTGTTATGTCATGCTGGGTAACACTTGTTAAAATTGTTGAGATGTAGCAGTGATAGTAAGAGTTTTCGAGACTTCAATCAAGTAGTAAGAG